TGGTGCCCTAAGCAACCTAGTGAAATGCTATCTCGAAATAAAAAATAAAAAGGGGCTGGGGATATATAGCTCAGTTGGTAGAGTGCTTGCCTCGCATGCATTAGGCCCTGGGTTCAATCCCCAGCATCACACACACACAAAAAGTTGGGGTGGGGGGAATCGGGATGTGGCTCAGTGGTTAAGTGCCCCTGAGTTCAATTCTCGGTACAAAATATATATATATATATATATATATATATAGTGTTGGGCGGTGAGTGGTGGGAATATTTATTCCTGGAGGCCATATAACTAGCAAAAATGTGACTTTAGGTAGAAGGTACTGGAAACCACATGCATATACCCTAATGTGCAAATATGTCTGATTAGTTCTCCTATGCAGGGTCCCCCAAATACCTATAGTGACTCCTACTGAGGAGACTGAGTGAGTGATGAGGTGAAAACAAACAGTAACCTTAACCATTAAGGTTTAAATATCCCATTTTTGCAAATTTTATTAAAATTTATCACCCTCTGCACACATTGCTAGTTCCCTTTTGGGCCATGACAAGGACCTGTCCAAGTGAGGCATCGTGAAACTGAAGCTCACTAACTTCCGGCAAATTTGCCTCAGCCTCTGCTCTTCCCAATATCGTCCGAACTCCAACCCCAGTCTCCTGGATTACTGCCATCACCTCCTGTGTCTTCCTTGCCCCTTTCAGTCTATTGACACTTAAACCAGATCATGTTATATGTCTGCTCAAAAGCCTCCAGTGTTTCTCATCTCACTCTAAGTAAAAGCCACGCAGTCCAGAAGGCTCTGCATGACCTTGCCTCTTATTGTCATTCTGACCTCATTTCTTGGTATCCACACCTTCCTCGATCCACTCCAGACACATGAAGCTCCTGCAGTTTCCTGAATGGTCAGGCATGCTTCCACTGGGCTTTTGCATTTGCTGTTGGTGTAGCCTGGCCCACTTCTCCCTGATGTTCACCCTACCCCTAACCCCTAGTTCTTGTCCTGGTTTCATATTTCTCCATAAAACATATTTCCCAACCACCTAACACACTACATTTTTTTTTTTTGTCTGTATCCCTCTTCTATAATGTGGGCCTCCCGAAGCATGACTCTTTTCTTCACTATCATATTCTGGCACCTAGAACCATGGCCAACACACAGTGGCTGGCTTCTTTCTAGTAAACACAGTGATCTCTGCCTTCAACTCTTATTCCTTAGCCACACCAGAAGCTGAAAAGACCATCTTCTGAGAAAGACCAGTGAGAGTACAATTACCAAAAGGTCAATTTCCCTAAGAGAAAAGCAAAAGTGAACTAGTGACAGAATTTTCTAGCATATGAGTGACTTGCTTTCATAAAGAGCTGACTTCTTGTGAAGTGACTCACCACCAGTGGTATTGACCACTGAACTATAAACCTCCTGTACCTCCTTCTCCTGTCCCCAAAGATGTAATCCAGGGTCATTGTGGTATTAATAGAAAATTACCAAATTGTATCATTTCTCTTCTCAGTGTAAGAAAAGAAATATAAATAAAAAAAGAAGTAAAAGAGACATTTGAAAATTTTTTTCTTGTTTCTCTTTTCTTCTTTGTTTTCATTTTTCTTTCTCCTTCTGACTTAAGAGGGATGAAATGAACCAGAAAATATTACAGAAAAACAGGAAAAACAGGCTGGTAGGACATATTCTTCTTGATCAGAGAAGTGCTGGCATTCCCATGTGGCAAATGAGCATAGTACCAGGGAAGGGAATAATATGAACATATGTGTATTACTTATGAATATGAAATGTTTGAAGATGTGAACACAAAACAGTTTTCCAAAAAAGTTTAAAAGACATTACTTAATAGTTCAAGAAGAATTCAAAAGAAATTACTTAGTATTTCACTATCACAAGAAAAATGCTACCACCTTGGTATAGTTTCTTCCAATCTTTTTTCATATGCATAGATTTTTATACATGTTATACATTTATTTAAAATACTAAGTAAGTGCTCTACCACTGAGTCACAACTTCAGTCCCTTTCTGATTTTTGGTATCTTCATTTTTTCCCCCTCTCTTTACCTCACTTCAAATGAATCTTCCATATAACAAATTTGTCCGCATTCTTGTAACTTTTAAGGGTATATTCTATACTGTGAGATAATTTGGTAAGCTATTCAACTATAATTGGACATTCATATTACTTACAAAATTTCACTTTTAAAATGTTATGAACTTTTAGTGAATAGAGTATTTTTCTCCTGAGTATATTCAATGATCTTCCTGGGATGATTTTACAGAAGTGGGAAAAGTGAGTCAAATGATGACTTTTATAATTCTTAAAAGTTATCATATGATTGCTTTTTAATAGATTTGCACTGATTTATAATGATGCCGGCAACTATTTACTAATTTCCAGTAGGTATTTTGCCAATTTAATATTTTAAAAGGATTCTTATTTTCACATGCATTTTCTTCTCTATTTTCCTTGATTATTTTCTCTGTTGGGAAATGCCAGTTCATTGTCACTGGTGCAATTTACCTTTGTGGGGTTGTCTCAGTATTTTTCTGATTCCTTTTCTTTTTTTATTATTAAATGATGGGAATGACTGAGTATAAAGGCTTCTTTTTTAAAGTCGTCAATGAACATTTATTTATTTATGGTTCTGAGGATCAAACTCAGATGCCTCACACATGTAGGCAAGTGCTCTACCACTGAGCCACAACTTTAGCCCCTTTCTGATTTCTTTTCATGGGCTATATTAAATAGTTAATATATTTAATAGTTTAATCCTTGATCATAAGCACTATATGTTTTCGATTTGTTTTAAATTTCTAGTTATGCTGTCACTGAAAACAGTTTAACACTTTACATAGTTCATATCTTACCAATGTCATTTCTCTATCAAGCATAGTTTTAGAAAATCCTCTCCTTGTCCTAATCCCAGGGCATTAATATGGACTTATTTCTCCCTGATTTTTATTTCTGTATCTATTTAATCCACTAATTCTGATGTATGATATGTATATCAAATTGATCTCTTCCATTAAGCATAACATAAGGAGAACCCTCATTCTATATGAAGAGTTCTTTTGTGCTGGGACATAGTCCCAGGACCCAAGGGGAGAGACATGGGAAGGAGTGGCTCCAAAGAACTTAGAATGTGGTGTTGTTCAGCAGGAACAGAAAAGGTAATGGAATGAAGCATGGAAGTTCACATAAATGTCCAATGGGTTTTTACCTTGCCCTTTCCTTTCATAACCAACACTGGGGAATGAAAGCACTTCTGAACATTATGAAATCTGCAACAGAGGTTTTCTTGTTTTTTTAGAGTCCTTTGAATTTTTCAAGAAAGGCAACTCTCAGTTGACTACTGCAAGCGCTGTGTGCAGAGCGCTGTGCTAGGCACATTGTGTGTTCTGAGTGAGATGCAAAAGTAATATCCTAAGGCAACCATGAGTTAAGTTCAGTGATGAAATAAAACGGAGATGAGAAAAGAAACCTAGGCAGAAAACCCGGGCTACAATGGCTCAGCCCTGCAACCTTGCTAGTGTTGTGTGCAGCACGATGTCTATAGTGCTGCGACCATTCTCTGTCCTCCCTCTGCCTCGCACCTCCTCCTCTGTCCTCGGTTGGCCGAAGCCCCTGTCAGAATCTCCACTAGCTTTCTTGCCAGCAGCCAAGCAGCCAAGTTCATGCAAGCTCCTCTGAAAGTTTTAGCAAAGGGAGGGTCTTAAATCCTGGCGGAGCTATGTACACTAAAAATCAGACAGACTCTACTATCCACACACTGCTGCTTCCAGGGCCAAAGTGACTACCACAGAAGGCACTTCTGAACTAGGTCCCACCGGTCCACCCAGATTCGAGGCTATCTTTGTTTCCCGATGCTCACAGCAAGTAGAAGACAAACTTGTAACCACTGGTTTTCCTTTGCTGAATACAATCATCTTGGCTTCTTATTTTTAACAGGTAGGCAAGTGGAGGCAAACACTCCATACCTCTACCCGTGTCCAGTATGGCACGAGAGTGACATTCACACACCTAATCTTGCCACACCTGCCACCTTAATCTGAAAAAAGATCTAGTCCTTTCAAACTTAGCGTGGCGGGCCCACATCCCCGAATCTGTCAAGTGACGTCCAACGCGGCAGATTTGCTTTCAGAATAGCCTGTCACCATTTCTGCTCCTGCTCACCCTCCACTCAGGGAATTCACCCAAGGTGCCGCCCCGCCTAGTTCTCTGGCCCAGTCGGGAGGGACGAGGTGAAAAAGGATAGGTGCTCTCCGCAGAAAAGCCCTGGGACGCCCATGGCTTTGGGGTGTGCAGTGGGACTCTGTGAAGCCGGCTGACCCCGCCTCCCGCCTGCGCCTCCCGGGCTGCGGAAGGAGTGAGAGTGGCTCTCCCAGGTGACAGATCGCCCTGGAGAAAGTCCCCCCCGAGGCTGTGACCCGCGCTAGGGGGTGGCGGGGAGGCGTGGCCCATGCGCAGGAAGATGTCGTGATGAGACTGGGGAAAAAAACCACCAACCCCAAATCCACCCACTTGAGTTTCCCAACTCGAGTTCCTCTAGAGCGTTCGAAGGACCCCAAAGGCTGCTCCGTGCCTCCCTGACCCCCATCCGCCCGGCGTCACCTCTTGCGGGTGGGCTTCGCGTTCCCCCCCTGGGTTTCAGAGCCACCACGTGACTTCCATGAAGCGAGGGGCCGCTGCGGAAAGCCGCGACAGGGGTGGGATTTGGGACCCCGAGGTGCAACAACTGGGCGGGGAGAGGAGGAAATCAGGCGGGGGTGGGAGACAGAGGGGGCGGGGCGGACTTGGGGACGGGAAGGACAGCTTGCTGGGCCTGGGGGAGGGGTGGGGTGGCCTCGCGAGCGCGCAGTGCTCGGTGGAGCCGGGAGAGCGGGAAGTCGAGGGGGCGGGGCGGAGGGCCGACGGCCGGCAGGTGCCGGGGCGCGAGGATGCCGAGGGCGCGAGAGCACCGGTAGGCAGTGCCCCGCGTGCAGGGCGCCGCGGGCGGGGCGGGCGGCCGCTGCTCCGCCAGGCTGCTCGGCGGGGCGGGGCGGAGCAGAGGAGCGCCCGGCATGTCGCAAGGGCTCCTGACCGACAGTAGCGTCCTGCAGAGGAGCGTCGCGGCGCCTGGGAATCAGCCGCAGCCGCAGGTAGTGGACGAGGCGCGCAGGGAGGACCTCAGGGACGCGAGGGCACTGATGCCTAGCTGGGCTAGGGGCGAGGGACGCCGCGGGGAAGCAGGAGGTGGGTGCTGGAGTTTCCGGGTGGTGACCGCTAAGGTGCGGGGGTGTAGGGCGCATCCCCTAGCACCGGACGACCGAGAGTGGGGCGGGAGGTGGGGGAGGACTCAGGGGCCCCCGATGTGTCCGGTCGCCCAGCTCAAGCTCGGTGTCCGCGCCGCCTAGGATAGCTTCAGTGCCTCCGACCGTGAAGACCTGAGGGCGCCTATACCTAAATGGGCCCGGCAACCTGCGCTCACCCGCACGTGGGGCGTCCGGCGCAGCCCGGGTCCTGCGGGGCGATCAGCTCCCACTCTACTTTTCACGTGCTTGGCTCTTACCCGCCGCTCCAGGAGTGAGCTAGAGCGCCAGGTGGGGGAATTCGGTCCAAAGACTGAATTTGCGGTTCGTCCCCACGTCCCCACATCCAACCTCCTTGTTGCCGCCCATATGGGGAACAGAATGGTTCAGCTAGCAGTATTCGATAAGGACCCCTCAGCGAGCAGATTTCACCCCAGTGCTGGTGAAAACCCCTTACGTCCATCCAGTCAGTCCTCTGCGTTGTCCCCAGCAACTTTTACAACTGCGCCAGACAGGAAACTGAAATCATGTTTCCCGCCGAGATGGCCATTAGGAGGCATTGCACCCAGCTGCTTTAGGATCAGGATTGAGTCTTTTATTCTTATGGCTGCCCCCTCCCAAGCACATAGTGTCATCCAGTGACACTAGAATGTCACAGAGATCTGAGTTTGGGTCTCACCTTGGCCACGCAGGCTCAATAATCTTGATAATTTGATGATTCCAAGCCACAGTTAACCCACCTATAAAAATATAACAACATCTCAGAGTTTTTATGAGGTCTAAATGAGATATCATTAATATATAAATACTTCTTGACTTTGCAAACCTTTCTGCCTTAATTAAATGTTCCTGTCAGGTTGGCAGGTGTGACCACATATGATAGGTGAGGGTTACCAGTTTAGAGGGTTAGCTCCCAGAGGGCAGGATGCATGTCAATCCTGTGTGTCCTATGCCTTTTTTATTATGGAGAATAGAAAGACATGATTTAGTGACAAGTACTGTCAGAGATTCAGTTAAAAATAGTAACCTCAACAAAGACTAGTAACTGCTGGAGAGCATACTGTGTATAGGGAGTTTTAGGACAAAGTCTAATTGCATGGTACACTAGCCCCAAACCTCAGGCCTTTTGGCAGAAAGCAGCAGAGGTCAATGACCCGTTGTTCTGGGCTTGTATTTCTAGTGCCTAGGAGAATGCCTGGCACATGGTAGATGCTCAGTTATATTTATTGAAAGAATGAATGTATCACACTTAATGAGAAAATTGGAAATTCAGAAAATTTAAACCATTTACCCAAGGTCTTATTGATAATACAAAATTAGGATCAGTGAGATTGTAAAGTTTATGCTAAAGTTCCATATTCTACACCACATGTCCCTGCCCTGTGATGTTCAGGATATGTACTACATTTTTACACCATCTCTGTACCCTGCAGCATTGTCTCCAGGCCACTTCTATTTGTTATGTATGTTGTTTATTCTTCTCCTTTTATTTTTGCATATGTTGGAAATTCTTACCTTCAGTAATTGGAGAGATGGTGTGTCTTTCTTATTCAGAATATAAGACTAAATAAAATGATAACTGAAAATATCATTATTAGGTGTTTTTGATATTTGCTTTCATTAATAGTAATAATTGAGGAGCTTTCTTTGATCTGTACCCCATTCACCTCTTGTTTTTTAAAACCCTTAAGGGTAATATTTTTTTTTTCTCCCTTGGTATCTTATCATGGGGTTCTGGAAAGCAAATATTGCTGTTCTTTTTCGTGTTTCCTATAATGAGTGAAGTGTCTTTACCATGGTAAGTGTGTTATTCTGCCTGCCTGTTTCACAGTATCTCTTGAAGGATTGACTCCATTTGGCTGAATCTCATTGATAGCAAGGCTTTCAGGACATATCATGGATTGGATTTTTTATTTACTCTGACCTCCAAAGCAAAATATCAGTCAGGCATTGTTCAAATGAGCACATTGTTAGGGGTGTGCATTGGTAGAGTTATATAGTTGCAATCAGTTACAAGTGTGTAACCATGATTTGCCCATAGTATCAAAAGTACCTGCTAGTGTGATGGTGTAAGAGCTGACACACAGCAAGTTCCAGAGAGCAGATGGCCTCCAGTTTTCCCAGGCTCAGATGAGCAACACTTACACCACAACTCTTCCAGGCCTACGCCTTTGTGGGATAGAGGTTTGTGAACGTTGGTTTGAAGACTAACAGACCTGAGTTCCACTTCCCACTTACCCCCATACTAGCTGTGATACCTGGAGCAAGTTCCTTAACCTATCTGAGTTTCTTATTCCTCATCTTTCTTTTATAGAATCTAGGGCCTCACACATGCTAGGCAAGCCCTTTATTACTGAGCTACAGCTTCAGCTGCAGCCCTTACCTTCCCCTACCCTAGTACTGAGGATTGAACCCGGGGCCTCACTCATGATAGCAAGCACGCTGACCTGTATTCCTAACCTTTTGCAAATGTTATTTTGAGACAGGATCTTGCTAAATTGCCCAGGCTGGCCTTGAACTTGTAATCATCCTACTTCAGCCTCCCAGGTGGGAATTTCAGGTGTGCACCACCACACTTAGCACCTCCAGCCCTCTTATTGCTCATCTTTTAAATGATAGCCACAGTACACATTTCTCAGGGCAGTCTTGGGGACTAACAGCTAAGCAGAGGCCCAGCATGCAGTGAGTGCCCCTTAAGAAGCTACCATTAGCCCGCTGATGGAGCAACATCAGTAATAAAGGAAATGCTGGCGCTCGGTGAGTGACGTTCAGAGAGAAGAAAGAGGGCAGACAAAGGCAAGGCAAGGGCATCGACATCACACCTCCCCAAATGTCATCCCCCAGAGTCCTGAGGATGATGACAGGAAGGTCCGAAGGAGAGAAAAAAACCGAGTTGCTGCTCAGAGAAGTCGGAAGAAGCAGACCCAGAAGGCTGACAAACTCCACGAGGTGAGACTGTGTGGTGGGGCAGAACCACATGAGAGCCATGAGGAGGAGCCACGCTCTGCCCATAACAATGTCCTTGTCGTTACTAAATTCTGCACACATCTGATTCTGCTGGGTCTTTCCAGCCCAGTGTTCTGATTCTTTGCTTGTGGACCTCTTCATCTCTCCCCAGTCCACGGGGTGCCTCTCACATTTAAGTTTCTTGCATTATAAAACAAGACAAAGGGCCTTTTTTTTTTTTTTAAATGATGCTGAGGATTGAACCCAGGGCCTCTAACATGCTAGGCAAGCGCTCTACCACTGAGCCACAACCCCAGCCCCCCAAAATTCCCCTTCTTGATTCTGATTGTCTTTCAAGTTCTTGCTCCATTTCTTTTCTTCCTTCACTTGTCTGTTTTTTTTTTTTTTGTTTGTTTGTTTTTGTTGTTGTTTTTGGTTTGTTTTTTTGGTACTGGGGATTGAACCAGGGGCACTCAACCACTGAGCCACATCCCAGCCCTATTTTGTATTTCATTTAGAGACAGGGTCTCACTGAGTTGCTCAGTGCCTCACTTTTGCTGAGGCTGGCTTTGAACTTGCAATCTTGCTGTCTCAGTCTCCTGAGCTGCTGGGATTACAGGTGTATGCCACCGCACCAAACACACCTCTTCTTCTTAAAAACAGTATCCACTTTTAGCTGTGGGTGTAGATCAGTGGTAGAGTGGGTAGAGTGCCTACCTCACACACATGCAAGTTCCTGGGTACCATCTACAGTACTGAAGAAAAAAAAAAAAAAAGAATAGCTTATGCTTGCTGTCTCTGTGCCTTTGGTTTCTATTGATTCCTCTTCTATAATTTCATTCCTGCTTCTCCTTCCTCTACCTAATGCATGTAGACACATATACCCCTGCAGAAGTTGCTGTCCTGGAGGCCAACAGGAGCTTCATCCTGTTTTTATCCTCCTTGATCTTGCTGAAACTTTTGATACCTTTCACTCATTCCTTCTTGAAGCTTTCTCCTCTTGCCTCTAAAAGACTGCATTTCCTAGTTATCATGATCCTCTTCATCTTTTTTTTTTTTAAATTTCTTTGTTAACTTTTCTATCTTTGTTTTCTTAAATGATGGTATTGATCAGGGCTTCAGACTCTGCTGTTTCTTAATCTCACACTGGAAGATTTATTTATTTATCTACTAATCTGTTCTTCAGAACATCAGCTTCAAACATTAATAAATGCCCTAGACCCAAACCACACCATTTGCTTAGACATCTCCAGATGGGTCTGCTGCAGGCTCCTGGGATGAACCACATTCATAATGGAGTGCCAAGTCTGTTCACTCTGAGACTGTCTTCACAGGATCTTCACATTATAGTAAACCAGCCACATTTCTTATCACTCATATCAGAAGCCTGGTGTCTGAGTCTGTTTTCTGTTGCTATAACTGACTGCCACAGGTTGGGTAATTTATAAAGAATAGTTTATTTGGCTCAAGTTCTAGAGTCTGGGATGTTCAAAAATCAAGATGCCATCATTGGCTTTGCATCTAGTGAGGGCCTTCTTGCTGCATTAAAACATGGCAGAGGGTATCACATGATGTCAGGGCAAACAAACCAAAAGAATTTGTTTTATAAAAAGCCATTCTCATGATAACCCATTAATAGATTAATCTTTTCACAGAAGCAAAACCTTCATGATACTATCACTTCCCAAAGGTCTTACTTCCTAACACTACTGCATATAGGACCAAGTTTCCAATACATGACTTTTCAGTGGGCACATGCAGACCCCAGACTGGGATTTATCTTCAACTATTTCATTTTCCTCAATCCTTAAGCATAAACCCATGGAATCCCATGGCTGGGAATGGCAACTGTGCATACCAGGAACTGACCTCAAAAGCACTTGAGATCTATCCAAGGAATTTCCTGGCAGTCTCTGCATGGAGTAGATGTGCTTAATTAAAGATTTTAGTTTCACTGTTTCCTGCCATGCTTTCTCATCATAGATTGATTCAGCAAGAACATTCTGGAACATTGACAGCACAGACACTCATGTATAATTGAGAAGAAGAAAATTTCTGAAAAAAGTCTTCTAGCAGTGCACAGAGAACAAATTCTGAATGCACATACCCCAGAGAGACATGACACACCAATGTAAATTTACAGTGTGGCAAAGTTATAGATGTCAGATTCTTTCCTGAGTAGGATAGTTGGCCCTATAAAGAGACTAGAGTGTCCAGACTAGAGTCAGGGAAGGCCTTTCCATCCTTTATTCTGTAAAATTTTTACAGAAGAATTGCAATACCCTTTGCCTCCTTTCTTCCTTCCCCCTTGCTCCTGAGGCAATTGTGGTTCTAGCTTTGTGTTACCAAATATCCCCCAGAGGGGGCTTGTGGCTCACAGTTAGTTCATGGCCCTTCATTCAGACCATGTATACTGGTCTGAACAGCTGGACAACAAGAGCCCTTGAGAAGTTTCTAGTCCAAGTCAGGTGTATTATCAATTGTAAGTCCTGAGTGATTATGTATACAGTGGTGGCTAAGTGTCTTGAACAAGATCTTTCATGGAGTAGGTCAAGTAGATCCATTCTACAAATATTTATTAAGCACTCCTGTGGGCAAGACTTTTGGGTCACAAAAAGAAGAAGATCTCATTCCTGTCCTTGGGAAGTGCAAGATTTCCCACAGAAAGCATGTTAATTTTTTCTTTTTCTTTTTTTTTTTAAACTGCTGTAACAAATTCTTAAAAATGTGGTGACATAAAACAACAAATTTACTATTTTAGAGTGTTGGTAGTTGGACCTTTTGAGATGCGTGTCCCTGGGCTAAAATCAAGGTGTCATCAGGGCTGCATTCTTTCAGGAAGCTCTGGTGAAGATCTGTTTCCTTGCTTTTTCCACCTTCTAGAGGCTTCCATGTTCCTCAGGTTGTGATCCCCTTCCATCTTCAAACACAGCAATGGCCAGTCAAGTCTTCTCCGTGCTGTTACTCTGATACTGGCTCCATCATCACATCTCCTGCTCATTCTCCTAACTCCTCTTTCACACACAAGGACCCTCATGATCACATTATACCTGCCTAGGTAATCCAGGACAATCTCTCACTTTACTCGGCTTAACTGCGTCTGCAAAGTCCCCTCTGCTATGTGAGGCGATACAGACACAGGTTCCAGAGATCCAGATATGGACATCTTTGAGGGGCCATTATTCCATCTACCACAGAAAGTAGAATGAATATTCATAAAGCTTATTGGCTGGAGATGTAGCTCAGTGGTAGGACACTTGCCTAGCATTTGAGAGACCCGGGTTCCATCTCCAGCACTGAAAAAAAGAAAGAAGAATATTCATTTGGCTCTATTGCATTGTCAAAAAAGACCCCCAGATGAAGCATGGGTTCTCTCTCAATCTCTAACATTGTTGGATTTGATAATTAAGTGAACCAGGTGCCTGGGAACCACATTTACCCCTTTATAGTCCCTCTTTTTTCTTTCTTTAATTTAATTTTCTTATTTGTTTTAATTAGTTACACAGGACAGGAGAATGCATTTATGCACTTTGATATATCATACATACATGGGATATAATTTCTCATTTTTCTGAGTGTACGTGTTGCAGAAGCATAATGGTCATGCATTCATATTTACACATAAAGTAATAATGTCTGTTTTATTCTACAATCCTTTCTGTCCCCACATCCCCTCCCATCACTTCCCTCTACCTAATCTAAGGTAACTCTATTCTTTTCTAGTGCCACCCCATTGTGAATTAGCATCTTCATATTAGAGAAGACATTTGGCCTTTGGTTTTTTGGTATTGGCTTATTTTGCTTAGCATGATATTTTCCAACTCCATCCATTTACTGGCAAATACCATAATTTTCATTCTTCTTTAAAGATGAATAGTATTCCATTGAGTATATATACCACATTTTCTTTATCCATTCATCTACTGAAGGACACCTAGGTTGATTCCATAGTTTAGCTATTGTGAGTTGAGCTGCTATTTTCTGGTCCCTCTTGAACCATGAGGCCTTCCATGGGGCCCCTTCCTGTCCACTTACCCATAGGCTCTGGTTGCCTGACAGTTTTGCTTCTGTCCTTTCCATAACTGGTGTGGCTTGATCTGGAGCCCAGTCCCTACAGGAAAGAACACCCCCTTCTCCTTTTCCTCAGTGTGGCCTGAGGCATACGTCAGAATATACACCACCGGCAGATCACCTCAGCAAGGCAGCCCTGTTGAGAAACACAGTGTCAAAGTCAGGACACTGGCTCTCTCTATATACAGACCCCAAAACTACCCCTCACCTTACCTCAGTAGCTACACACAAAGAAGGTATCAGGGGGTAAGCAAATGGCTTAGGAAAGTAAAAATGCATCCCAAACTTTTTGCAGAATGAGAGGAACATCACCTCTGGACCAAAAGGTTCCTCATGAATAATTCCTTCCCTGTGGATTTCCGGCCTCCTACCAGGAAGGCTTCATGATTACAGGAATCCCTTTTCTGTATGGCCAGCAGTTTAGTGGTAGGACGTTAAATGACTAAATCTACATACTAGAGGTGAAGATGACTGTAGAAAGAATGTGGTAAAGAATTACTACGCTCCAGTGGCCTGAGGGCAGAACACTTAGCACACTTATATGGGTCACAGCAGAAAGCCCCTGGAGACACCTGGGGCTCCCAGGTCACATCCAGGAAGGAGTCACTGAGAGCAAAACCCACCAGATCACTAGGAGGTTTTCAGGGACTCAGGAAGCTGCTTGGTCCCTGCTAAAGATAGTAGTCCTGCAAAAGGACTTTCCTCATTGGCTCCCCTATCCCAGCACTGTGTGGAATTCCTAATGTCAAAGTAGCTCAGACTCTTCACTTGCCTTTCTCGAATACCTCCACGGGTAATGATCAGAGCCTGCTTTGTTTAAAATTCCCACTTTTCTCTTCTGTTCACCTTACTCACACACCCAGTTATTTTTGAGCCCCTGTCACCTCTAGCAACCTGAAAACATTCCTTTGGCTTCCACTGTTTTGAGTTTCTTGGCCATTTCCCTCTGCTTCCAGTTCTCCATCTTGAAAGACAGATGATTCTATCAAAGTGAGATAGGCCAGGGGAGCCCGGGGAGAGAAGAGCTGGGCTCACTTCTCAGAGTGTCCCCCAGGCCATGGGTCAGTTGCTGGCAATTGGACGGTGGCAATGAGAAGCAGTTCCCAGCAGGTGTCTGTGACCCTCCCTGTTCACCGTTTTCAAATCATCCCTTCACTGCACTTACGCCTCTCGTGGGCTTTTGACCTCCATCCATCTCTGAACATCTGGCGCACACCGGAATCCACATTCACAAGTGGCACCCAAGTGATGGGCCAGGCTCTCTGAGAGGAGCTGGAAGTTGGCTCAGAAATGGGTCAGATTGGTTTGACCAGGCACCCAAACATGTCAGACTGAGAAAGAATTTTGAGTCAGAAAAGGAAGGCAGCAATGCCATCCCCAAGAGCCCTAAATGTCACAAAACTGACAAAGTACTTGGGCAATACCGTTGTGGTATGTGTTGCCATGGTTCTTTCAGACATTGCATGTTTTAAGAGAATGTTTCATGTCAGTACCCAGTTGGTTCAGAAACTGATTATGACACTAATTTGTACAGTCCTTGCTGATGACACAGCATCTGCTGGGAAGTGCATCAGCTTAAGGCTTGGGAAGGGGTAAATTGTAAAGTCCTGAAATCTCATGGCCTCTTACTTCTGGTAACCACCACAGGGGAATTCAGGCCCAGGCGCTGCCATCCAAGAGCAAAATTGCTGATGCTGCCTGAGAGTTGCAGTTGACCTGGACATAGGCATCAGATCCCAAGTCTATGTGACCTTGGACATGTCACTGTGCCTCGCAGAGCTTCAGTTGGCTCACTTATGAAAATTGGGTTTGTGTTTGGCTGTGTCCTCCTGGTGGTCTTTTCCTACCCCTCCTTTCTTTCACACCAGAATTATCGTCTTTGGTCCTTGGTACTCATATCAGCTTCTCTACCAATCTCAATTCCGTCTTCTTCCTTAGAAGACTGAACCCTGGCAACCCCCAGACAGTTCCCCACTCGACCTCTTTTAGTTTTTTTTCAGCCTCAATACTGTTGACATTTGGAGATAGACAATTTCTTGTTTGGGGGGCTGTCCTGTGCACCGTAGGACACCAAGCAACATCTGCCTCAACCCACTGGATGCATATCACCTCCCTCCCCTATCTGTGAAAAAACAAAACTGTCTGCAGACATCAGAAAATTTTCTCAGATGTCTTCAACTGGGGACTGCCAAAATTGCCCCAACTGAGAACCACTGCCTTAGGCAGCTTAATTTCTGAGGCAGAACTGGGATTTGCAGTGATTTCACTGCCTCTAATTTTAGGTCTCTGCTCTGAGGCTATGACCTGGCAAATTCCCAGGGTGGCAGCACAGTGACCTGAAACCTCCCTCCTGCAACAGGTTCACAGCTCACCAGGATTCAAGCTAGACGGATCATCTCTTTGGAAATCACACGAGTTTAATGTTTCCTTCTCATTCCTTATTTATGTTAAATCTAGTCATCTCTTCTTTGTCTGAAGCGGGTTTCATTCTTTCCCTTTTCTTTCCGTTCAGTCTTCTCTGGCCCCTTCTTCCTCCCCTTCTCAGCTCCTCTTCATTTGTATAGAACTGGTCTCACCTGAAGATTTTCACTGCTTCTCTCCTTCTTATTCCTTCAGCTCAGTAAAAGTCCCTCAGCAGATTTATGAGTAAAACCTAAATCCCAGAAGAGAAAGTCCCTGTGGAGAAGGCAGACGAGGGGCCTGCTTGGTGACTTGTGACAGGCAGCTAGCTCTGAAGACTTTCCGAGCAGAGGTTTGGGGAACGTAGTAGTGGTACCTCAGGAAGGTGTTAGGCCTCAGGGCTTCTTGTGGCTTCTAGAGACAAAGCTCAGAAACTCAGAGAGAAAAAAAAATAACTGTAAAAGGGCAGTTTTGAGATGTTCTGCCTGAGGAAGAAAACTACCTGTTCTTTGGAATCTAGTTAAAATGTTATCTCATTGGAACCATTCAGATCTACCATCAACTTTACTTGAAGGTGAAGGGCAGTTCCAGTCGCAGAGTAGAGTGTGTGTGTGTGGCGAGTGTGTGTGTGTGTGGGGGGGGGGGGGGGCATGCACAATCTCTTTCATCTCTCTGCTTGCATGCAAGCTTCCCATGATGCCACAGTCTCTATTCCTGTGCTTACATCCAGACCCTCCCCTTGCCCGTGAAGGGCTTGTTGCTGAGTTTATAGACTGAATTCTGACTCCAGGTCTAGAGCTAGTCAGAGGTCAGAAAAGATCACAAAGAACTGGGGATGGTGGGCAAGGGTAGGGACTGAAGGCCCATTCTGCTAGTGAAGCCAAACTAACTCTGAGAAGCCTGGTTCGGGAGCAGGGAGAATGAAGCCTGCTGTCCTGGACAGTATTTTGGAACACCCTGCAGACCTTTCCGTAATGGGCAGGAGGTGGAGGAATGGCTGAGATGATCTCTGTGTGCCACTCCTCTGGGGCCCTGGTTCTGAAAGAGAGGCATGTACTCGGTGGGGAGGGAGGGAGGAAAGGGCAAGAGAAGATAGAGGATAAGGTTTAAGGAGTTGCTGAGCTTCTAGATGCTGGCTCTGTGGTGCATGGAGTGGAGGTAGAGAAGAGGGTAGCAGAAGATCCTAGGTGTTAAGCATTTCTGATCTTTGAGGAGAGATTTTATTTACTATAAGAGAGATTGAAGATGATACAAGAACTGAATAGAACTCGTAATAAAAGATGTAGGTTTTATAGAAGCTGCAATTAGAGAAACCTTCCTGGAGGTAGTGGGCCTATATGGGAAAAAGAGGAAGGTGGTCCACTTGAGGAGAACCTCATGAGCAAAGGGGTAGGGATGAGAACTTGCAGGTTTCTTTAGGGGCTATCAGATAAGACTTCCTTAGTGATACTTTTCTTAAAGATCACTATCAAGAAAGGAGTGTGATGGGTAATAACAGGGAGTCCCCAGCTCAGTATATGCATGGTGTGCTTGGGGGCAACAAAGTCTAATCATACAAATCAAGCTAGATGTAAATGAAAACTACATTGTAGCAAGATTTAAATACAGTTGTCAGCCTTGAGATGGTTGCTGTTAGCATGCTGGAGGGCTCTGCCATGAGTGGGTGTTGGAGAACTTATTGATGACTTGGATGAAGAAAAGAAAGAACTGCTTATCATGTTATTGGACGGCTTAAAGTGGTCCATGAGATGAAACAAGTATGATTCCAATAGATTTTTGCTTGGCTCAAAGAAGCTCAAATGAACAGAATGAAATTCAGGGGAGAAAGATGTAAAGCTGTACCCTTCAGGTCCAGAATATCACCCAAGTAGAGACAGAAAACAGCACATGCTGACGGAGCTCTCTGCAAGTTTGTGGAGAATCCCCAGCATCTTAGGTCTGGTGCACAGGAGGCCTCTGCCAGGAATTTTCCCTTTGCATGATCCCCAGAATCATGCACTGCATTCAAGGAGTGATGTTTTCTCAGAGATTCTGGCAACTTGGAAGGTGTGTTAGGGATGATGTCCAGGAGAGCAGAGGCATTGGTAGTTCTGCCACAAGGAACTCAGAGAACCTGAGACAGTTGGGCTCAGAGAATACCTAAGGGGAAGTGGTGTGGGGCTGTCCCTACCATTTCAAGAACTGCGATGTTGAAAAAAAGTATTAGATTTACTCTATGTGGTTCCATTAGGTGGAACCCAGCCCAATAGGTGGGTTTGAAGAAGAGAGAGATTTGGGATTGCTACAACAAACAGCTTTTTCTAATAGAGCTGCTCAGAAATGACAGGGCTATCCTTTGAAGGTGGGACTGCCCAGCCCAAGATAGATTCGGGGGGCTAGAGTTACCTATGGAAGGTTTCTACATTGTGTGGGTTGTGCAAAGGGTACTCTTTGATTCCCTGCAGCTCTAAGCCTCTGTGAACTCTGATATGATGGAAACAACAGAATAGTGCCGGAGCAAAGCCACATGCATTCATGCTTTGATTTGGGCAATCAGCAAACATTTGCTACCTTCTGAGTCTATTCTGGGTGCTGGGGGTAGGTGCTGGGGGTGTAGTGCGAATGCAGCAAAGACCTTCAGAAAGCAGATCAGCCAGCCTTGGAGGGGACTGACACAAAAGGATCTAAGGGAACTTTCTGGTGGTGGAAATGTGTTATTGATCAACATGGGCATATACATTTGTCAACACTCATTGAAATACACATTTAAAATAGATGCATTTTATTTTTTGTAAATTATTCTTCAGCGGGACTCAGTAGCTCCCCCTATAGTTCCAGTTATTCAGGAGGCCGAGGCAGGAGGATCACTTGAGCCCAGGAGTTCACTACTGGCATCAGCACCAAGTTCTGCAGAGGAATCACCAGGTTGCCTAAGAAGGGGAGAACCCCTGCGGGTCAGGAGCAGAGCAAGCCAGATCTCTTTAACCGAGCAGTAGTGGGATGCTGGAACAGCCCTGCACTCCAGCCCTGGCAGCATAGTGAAACCCCTCTCTCAAAAACATGAAATAAAAAAAATATATAGTTAATTGATTGATTAAATGAATTATTCCTCACTAGAGTTGCTTGAAAAAAAAACAAAACAAAGCTCTGTCCTCGTGATCCTTTCATCCTAGTGGGAGGAGAAGAGAACATAAGCCAACAAACCGTAAGCCAATAAACGTGAGCGGTGGAGGGGACAGGGGTCCAGGATAAGGCTTTCTCCGGCAGGAGGTGAGCTTCGCGGTGCGCTTTAGAGCTGCTGGGAGGACGGAGGAAGGGACTGCAGTCTCAGAACCCAGATGCCTATTGCCTTTCCTCGACAGGAGTACGAGTGCCTGGAGCAGGAAAACACCATGCTGCGGAAGGAGATCGGGAAGCTGACTGAGGAGCTACGGCACCTGAGCGAGGCGCTGAAGGAGCACGAGAAGATGTGCCCGCTGCTGCTCTGCCCCATGAACTTTGTGCAGGTGCCTCGGCCGGACCCTGTGGCCAGCTGTCTACCGCGATGAAGCCCGAGGACGCTCCTCCTCTGCTGAGCGAGGAGCCTTGATCATTTCCACACCTGGGGGAAGAGGTTCCCTCTGCGTCTGTGTGCAGGGTCACCTGTGGCCAGGAGCTCCAGGGCCAGTCGTGGCCTCCGCAGCCTGGCTCAGGGTGGCAACCTGTAGGCACCTGACTCTTCGTCCTGGAGCAGTAAGCAGAAAGGCCACCAGCTGAAAGGCCAGCCTCAGGAGTCACTTCTCATCTGCTTTGGCAGCTAGTAGGTTTCTGCAGGATCATTTCCTCTAGAATTGGGATAACAATAAAGATGAATATTGTCTCTCCTTTCTCCAAGTTGTTGGAATTTAGGAGCACAGTACAGTTCCTCTTTCTGGGGTGGTCATCTTCCCCGCGTTGTTTCATAGCTCATGGGTCTTGTTTCCCTCTCCTGTTCATCTCCTCCAAAGCCACATCCATTATAGTTGGCCGACACACCCTTGTGGGGGCTGTGGCAAAGCATAAATGGGCAGGATTTCACTGCACCCCTGTGTCTTCAGAAGTCATTGACCCAGCTGGCCCTGCATCTTGGCCAGCTCACACCCATGCTAGACTGTCATGTAAGATTTTCTATTCCAGGACTTTTTTCCCAACTGCTGTGTCTATTCCCAGGTCACCTTTCCCTTCTGTAAGTAGGTATAGGATCAGAGGACAAACTTACTTTATATTAGCCTGAATCCCTGGAAAAGTCTGTCCCCTTATTATTGATGGGGAGGAATTTATGATGGGAGATGAGAAGAGGAATATTTTTTTTTTTCTTTTTGATACTGGGGATTGAATCCAGGAGCACTTTACTACTGAGCAGTCTCCTTAGTCCTTTTTTTTTTTTAAATTTTGAGACAGAGTCTTGCTAAGTTGCTGAGTCTAACCGCAAACTTGTGATCCTCCTGCCTCAGCCTCCTGGAGGAGCTGGGATTCCAGGAGTGTGCTACCATACCAGGCAAGGAACAATTTTCTCTCATAAGTTCTGTCCATCTCTATTCTCTTAGGAAAGGTTAGAACCAAGCCAACCCAGAAAATCTGGGAAGGTGGTCCCCATCCTTCTTCAAGGGGGATGTGGAGGGCGGAGCTATCCTGTCATAATCAGAACAAGAAATGGGAACAGAAAGGAAAATGCTTTGTTATAAATGTAGATGGGTACAAAAGTAGAAAGGGAGAAAAACACCTTGCAGACCCTCCCAAGGTGAAGGATTTGCTAACTCCAGACATAGAGGTTATCAACACCCCCTCCTCTCCTGGGAGGCTCCCCCTTCTGGTGGAGGTCTGCCTGGTCGCCTTTAACTTGCATAAGCTCAAGGCTGCAAAATCTCCTCTTCAGGCATTGGAAGGCTGGTGCCAGAGAACAGGGCTAACGCCTACTGGAAGCACCAATCAAAATTTCCTGAATTCGACTGTTTCAGGAGCAGGGTGCAATGTTTTTAGTACAAGAAACACGAAAGTCATCCAGTCTATCCCTTCACTCTGCAGATGAGGGATTCAGGTGTAGCGAGGGGAAGGGACTTGCTCAAGGTCTCTCCTGGAGAGCTGCAGAACCAGGCTGAGAACACGGGTGGTCTGACTGCTGAGCTAATAGAGTCAGGCTGGGTCATGCAAAAAGGATGTGAGTCAGGGCGGATCCTGTTCTGCTGGTGTTCAAATGTGGCATGTGTTCCTGTTGGCTCAAGGCTGGCCAGGACCGTACAGTCCAGGTGAACAACCCATCTGGGTAGAGTGGACTCAGCCAGGTCCCAGGGGCCAATGTGGCTGTGAGGATGGACACATAAAGCTAGCATTGTGCAGCAAGCATTTTGCTACTGCTGTGTTTCAACTCCAGCACTTGCAGGCCCTGCGGGAAGCACTGGCTGTCAACTTTGGTTGGTAGGATTTGCCTGTTCTTGAGGATCCCTCTAGCTGACCTGATTTCTAAAACTCATCTGTTCTGACTGCTGACCTGCTCTGATCCCTTCTATCACTGCTGTTCGACTGGCTGCTCTCCCACTCCACAGCTAACCCCAGGTGTCCATGCTCCCATGGGACTGATTTTTTCTTGAGCCCTGTGACCTGTGTCCCCAAGACCTTGGAGTCTCCCCACCAGCTCTTCTATTTTGACTGGAGATTTAGGGAGGAGAGTGTGCACAGAGGATGGGTGAGGGGCTGCATCCTGGAGATGACAGTGCATGATTCTTCTCCCATGGCCACCACAGTCCACTGGCCAGAACTCAGTCACATGGAGTTTGGCTAAGTGCTAGGGGGCTGGGGGAAGGAACTGGTTTTGGTGATTCTCAGTCTCTGACATAAGATCTAGCCTTCACTTGCACCATTTCCCAGAGATTCCCCACTTGGAGGTCACCAGTAAGCTCTGATTTCTAAGCCTAATGGCCATATCTCAACCTTTATCTCCTTCACTTCCCAACAGCCAATACTGCTGGCTCCTACCATCCTTCCTCTTTCTCCCCCTACTTCTTCTCAGGAAAAAGGGGCTCCTTTTCTTGTACCCTCAATCACTATCCCTATGCTGCTAACTGGTACCTCTATACCCAGAACCCAGGTCTTTCTCCTGAGGACAGACTGTACATCCAGATCCCCAGGAAGTGCCTCTCACAGAATGTCTCACAGTGTGTCCTGCTCAGCATGTTCTAAGCTCTGACAGGGATTCACCATCTTCCCTTCAAAGATGCTTCTCAGGTTGTTTTTATATAACAAAAGCCTCCATCATCCAGCTGCTCAGAAAATTGATTTATTCCTTCAGTCCCCAAATTAATCTACAAGCCCTGTCAATTGTCTCCTAAATATCCCCCAAATCCACCCACTTAGCTCTAATATGCTAATTGCTTTGTCTGCTCTCAAGAACTTTACTCAAATTAGCTGCTGAACTTCGGTGACTTCCTCCCTCTCTGGCTGTGTTTTCATTGAAGTTGAACTTGAATTTAGGAAGGACCAAGACTGCCTCCACTTTTGATGTTAGAACCGTACATTGAGAAGCAGTGAACCAAAAATAGATTAACCTAGGGTGCTGGGGGTCAAGTGCCCTCCAAGATAACTGGAGATGGACAGATGTTTCAAAACCCAAATGTTCCCTGAAAAAGTAACAATTCCATATAAACCTGAGAAACTATTTTCTAGGAGAGACAAGAAATGTGGACAAGTTGAAGGGAGGGAAGAAGGTAGTGGGGGACCCTTGTGCTGAGGGTTGTATTTTCTTGGTTCTGTGCAAACTGCTGCTTGTTCCAAACATCTGAATGAAGCCCCAGAGTGTCTGTCTGCTGGGTTGGGGTGAGGGAAGGCACTGAGACAGGTCCTCTCAGCATAGAAAGTGTCGCAGAGGGAGGAAGCCCCTCCTTCACACCCACACAGCCACACCACTTCCTGTCCGCTATCCTGCCCCGTTTTGCACCAGCCTAGCCTTGAAGCTTGGGGTTTCCATCACTAAACTGGGGCCCCAAATTTTGACCCCAAACCTTGGTTAAGAATGATGACTCTAACAGACTGGAAAGCAAGAGACTAAAAGCCCCTGTCTTCTTTCCCATCACTGCTGGGGTCTCCACAAACCCACGTATATTTACTGACACCAGGCTGTGGGCTTTGTCCCAGAAAGAGCTAGAAGAAAAGGGGCAGCCCTAACTCTCACTGACAGGCCTTCCCTCCCTCAGTACCCAGGAAGTCCTGTCAGAGTCATCCCTTGTGCAAGAAGGAGGCTTGTAAGAGAGACCCAGGGAGCAAAAGCAAGAAGGGAGAATGGAAAGGAGGAAGGAAGGGTAACAGAAAGAGAAGACAGTACTGGGGACCCTTGTGCTCTGAACCTAATCATCCCTTCTCCTGAAGATGTTATGCTGAATCAGGGGTGCTGTGTCGTAGGAAGCCCCTCAGTAATGAACTTTTCTAGACTGCCCATCCTGATGAAATTGTCCTACCCTATCTCTCTAGGTGGGGAGACTGGTGTGGTCACCACTGCCATCACAAACATCATCATCATTAGCGTGGCCCATACCAAACATCTGTACTTAGCAGGTGGTGGTGTGCTTGGCGTGGACACGCTTGACTGGCTCATACCCTGAATCCTGGCTGTGTTCAGAAAAGCCTCTGCCCCTTGAGACAGTTCACCAGCACTTTGGGGTGTTCTAGCATGACCCTTTCTGGTACAATATTCTTCAGAAGATCAGAAATGTCATCACAGATCAGAACTGAAGACTACTAACCCAGAATTTTGACCACAGCCCTGAGGGAAAGTGCTAGGGAGAGTCCAGTGTTTGCATCCTGAAAGACCAGGCATGCTCTTGGAAGTTCCCTGATTTCCCTGAACAATCTGCCACCTAATCTATCCATACATTATCAAGATTTCTGGAACAGGTTTTGCAATTGCCTTGGATAGGGTCTAAAACCTTCTCTGCTCCGAATTTGCCTGGTACCATCTGATCTTGGGAAGACTAGTTCTTGAGCACTGGAGCACTGGTTGCCTAGAAGCCTAGAAAGCAGGATCCGAATTTGTGAGAATTCACGGAGCTTCATAGAAGTCTTTCCTCCAGGCCAGTGGCAAGGCAAAAAAGAACCTTCCAGAATGTCGCAAACCCACAGAAGGCTCAATTCACCAGGCAGTACTTTTTGAAATTGAGAAAGCAAGTGAGTTTGAGAAACACCGGTGATGGCCAGTGTCCTGAGGTTAGAGAATGGGAAGAACAAGTGAATGTACTTCACCACAGCTCTTCAACGGTCCCAGCAAATACGTGAATGAACTATTAGTTAATGTCTAATAATCTTTATTGGCAATGCCCCATTCTAATAATTAATTTCTTAGGCAAAACCAAATGAATATATTTTCATAAAAAGAAATACTAAAATAACATTTCTAGATATAAACAAAATTAACTATTACTTATTTATAATTTTCAAATTAACTACCAGTCAAACAACTAGTGGTTAAATACCTATCGTGAGGAAGGGAGGGAGTAAGATCAGAAAGGGAAAAACACCCCCATACACACACCTTAAGGAGTCCCTTAGCAGAGAACTTCTGAACTCTCCACCCCCAGGTCTGTCTCAGTCTGACCAGAGGAAATCTAATGATTTACTGTTAATGATTTACATGGTCCATTGTTCCTACCGTCCTTCATATGGGTCGGTGTGCCTGTTGTAAATTAGGAATTCCCATAAATCATGGTAAAGTTAGCTTAAGAAAGGCCTCGTCGTCATTGTAATGATGAATGTGAAAATAGATCCTTCATGACGAAGGAGACATGAGACCAAAAATACAGGACACAAATCTCCTATAATTGTATTTTGAATTCCATTGAAATATTGTAAATACTGTTGCCACAT